CATCACTGTGCAAACCGGTGATCAGCAAACCCGATCAGAAAGGCATAACAAAATTATGACAACTGGAGTTATTTATTTAACATCAAAAAATGTAACAGAACGTGTTATAAACATTGGCTGGTTCGTTGTTAAACCAACAAAAATCATAACAAAAATTCGTCTAGTGGAAACAAAATTATAACAGATCTTATTATTATATCAAAATTATAACAAAATTAGATATAATCTATCGCATTCAAAAATATACATATATAACAACGTTTGTTATAAATGGCTATGGCAATCCCGCATAAACGCGAACCATAAATTGACCTTACCTAAAATGGTTAAAAATTGTTTATAATCCCTGCTAAACTTTAACTGAAATGGTTATGGAACTTTACATGAACGTTTAATGATAAAGTTTCAACCTTATGTATTATGGTTTTTTGGAACTGGACCTTACAAATAATGGGTTGTTAAGAACCATTACCGTTCCAAATTCTTGTTTTCTCCATACATTTTCGGAAAGAGAACTATATTAGAACCTTTTAACTTATGGTTTGAGAACTTTAATGGTAATGATTATGGTAGTCAGTAAGGTCCACGAATGGTTTTGTAACATCGATCAACTTTATGTGGAATATATCGCGAATTGGTTGCCTGTAATTTACTGATTACCAATTCACGATATATTCCACGTAAAGTTGAGCGATAATACAAAACCATTAATGGACCTTACTGACTACCATAACCATTACCATTAATGTTCTCAAATCATAAGTAAAAACGTTCTTATATAGTTCTCTTTCTGAAAATGTATGGAGAAAACAAGAATTTGGAATGGTAATGGTTCTTAACAACCCATTATTTGTAAGGTCCAGTTCCAAAAAACCATAATACATAAGGTTGAAACTTTATCATTAAACGTTCATGTAAAGTTCCATAACCATTTCAGTTAAAGTTTAGCAGGGATTATAAACAATTTTTAACCATTTTAGGTAAGGTCAATTTATGGTTCGCGTTTATGCGGGATGGCTATGTCATTTATTTTTACCTTTTTTTTTTAATCTAATTCAAATAATTAATTGGATTTCATCAACTGTTGGTCATTTCAATTGATTGGCTTTCCATAATATGCCAGAATTCGTTTCATAATGTGTAGTGCTTCATCAGTCAAAGATTTTTCAGCAGCTGGTTTGTCTTCCCGATAAATGCGGAGTTCCAACAACTGATCTGAGAGAAAAAAAGGTTGTTGTAGTAATTCTGAATGAATGAATGACTTGGTTGCCGTCGTTCGTGGTCTTCCACATTGATTGTTAGAGGTAAAGAGCCTGGATTTATAAAGAGACGACATGTCAAAATTGGAACAATCGATTGTCTGTCAAAGTCATAAGAAAAGTCATTCCAATCGAGCAGAAGACCTGTCAAATGGATAAGATGTCGCCTCTTTATAAATTCAGGCTCTTTAGTTAGAGGATCTTCCATCAAATCATGAGATTCCTATGGTGATGGAATTTTATTCATCATCTGTAGAGTTTTGACGAATCAGAAAAATCGGAAGATTCTTCGAAGGATACGATGAACGATGTTTCAGATCGGTATTTATTAATTCAAGGTAGACAAGACCGAGAACATCCTACCTTTTTTCAGGAGCCTTAGAGTTATCAATCAGCAATCAGCAAAATTTCTTGACAACATTCATGTTAAAGACATAATGTTTATGGCACTGAATTTTTACATAAGGCACAAGGAGGTTTGGAAGTCTTTAGGAAATTTTTGAATGTTTTCACGATAGCTTTTAACTTTTCTCGAAAGCTTTATCTCTTATACTAATGCTTTCCCAGCTCCGAAAGGGTTTATTTTTGTGTGAATTGTCATGATGGATAAAAAATACTCTGAAATTTTTTGTCATTATAAAAAACAAATCTATTCAGATATATGAAATGAAAACCCCTTCAGTGCTTCTGAACACGATGAAGACGAGACGATCGACAATATAAAACTCCTGGAGGAACTACAGTTATACGATCCCTACATAAGGCACAGTGCGGTGAAGGAGCTCTTAAAAATATTGAACAAGCGGCTTTCCGATACACTTCCGAAAGATCCACGAACCCTTCTTAAAGCAACGCCGACAGTTTCACTAAATCCGTTTGGAGATGGCCAGTATTGACATCACGGCTTTAAACCTTGTATTGAAAAAGCTTTTAGTGGATCCAATAAGCATTTCTTACATCTTGATTACAAGCGAAAATAGGAGGATCGCTTGGAATGTTGACTTTTTGACAGGTGGTCATGGTTTTTGTTTTGTTTTGATTCGCTGTACCGAATAAAACCAGCAAGCTAGTTATATAGCTTAAATGTAACTTAACGCTCTCAATTTGGACTACGAAATGCTAAGATACAACCATTAGGTTTATGTTATGCTTTAGAATTCCAATCTAGGAGAATATGTTATATTGAGGTATTTTTAAGGAGTAGCAAGTTATAACGAAAAAAAATGTCGCCGTATGAACAAATTTCACACAGTATGAATAATTACGCTTTAATTGATAGGCAATAAAACACTTTCATACATCTATGTATAATTAAATAATATATGTGACTGGTTATTGCTCAACAGTAGTAACAGTTTTGTACTAAATAGATAATCTTTGAATGACTCTTTAATGCATGGTGCTAATGCAGACAAATTAAAAATATCCCTATATTTTAGTATTCATATGGCGCACTAAATTTATGCTCCTATTTGGTATAATAATCACCATAAATATTGCACGGCATGCTGTGAAGCATATACAGATTGGTTTAAAATTATAATAAAGTCGTCTTATTTTCAATGTACAATAATATCAGCCATTATTACCAACTGACAAGGATCATGATTTCACATCAAACATCGAAAGAATAAAACCACAATAAAATATTTCTCAATATTAACTATCATCCAAAAACCCCAACTTAAAACCTTCAAAGTTGTCAAAATGTTTTGCGTATCATGTTTTATCAACTTCTTCAGGAACGATTTATGCGGTTGTAATATAGTTTTATGGTAGTCATTATAAGGCTGTTAAAACTTTCTGACCTGGAGGAGGTTTTATGTTTTCATTTTTAACAATCACGTCTAGAGTGTGATAAAACTGACATAAATCCTATGCTCCTAAAGTAGTTCGCATATCAAGTTTTAATGACTGCATTAAAACTGGGCCAATTGGCCATGACATGGCTGTATTGCGGTTCTCAGGAGATTGTTAAAGCAATGTGGTCGTCAGTGAAGGTTTTATAATTTGGTTATATCAACTGCTATAAAACTTAAATAAAACAAAAATTGTTGCTTGGGAGTTAAAACTGACGTTGTTATAATTCTGATATGATGAGAAACTTAAATAAAACTTGATATAATTGTGTTATAATTTTGTTATGCCCTTCTGATCGGGAAGGCCTCACTGATAAGTCCTGGGTCTCTCGTGTAATCACCATTCAACTTGATCACTCTCTCAACATGTCTATTCTTCAAACTGGGTTGGAACTGGTTCCAACCCCGATAATAAACAAAGATTATCAATAAACAACTCTAGATAGAGCTGGAATTAGAGCGTAACAGCCTTTGTAAAAATGACTTCTCTCGATGATTGCTAGGAATTCAAGGCACGCCTACATAAAGCAACCTATCCATCGAGTAGGGGAAGTCTTCCCCTTTTCGATGGTGTTATCTATTTGCCAGGGAGAGCCACGGCTTTCAATAAATCATCAAAAGAAGGCATTGTTTACAAAAGCTGTTTCGCCCTTATTTCAGCTCTATCTAGTACTGTGGATGTAATGATAGAACACAGACTTAAGAAGCAAAAGCTAAGAATAAATAGCAACCAAAATATCTTTTCCAGGTAGCATTGAATCCCATCAGCCGGAAAATACTGAAACAAGACACCGGGTTGCTGACCCTATTTTGGGTGCATGCGCCTATTTCACCCTCATTGAAATAAATTAATTGAAACAGAAGGCACTTCGATCTTTGGATTTAGCTATAAGATCAAGACTACAGCGGACACGTTCAGATTTTTTTTGCCGCTATCGCTAATTTTTCACCGAAATCTCAACGGCTAAACGTTTGGTAGAACATTAACATTCATTCATTTTACTCAAACATAATTTCAAAACACGTTCAACCTTGTTTAAATAAACCTTGTAATCGTAGTGGATATTTCGTTTTAAAGTTGCTCAAACTTTACCGAACTCAGCTGTTGAGATTTCGGTAAAAATTACCGAAGTCGGCGATAGCTTCTAAGTGTGTAGGTGCAAAACAGAAACATTAACCCTAGCGCAAGGCGGAACATGACCGGAAAAGTAATCGGATGGTATCTATAGACCTATAGCAGAAAGTGGCACCTTTCCTAAATAAGTTTTGGCGAGTAAGTGCCGGCTTCGGCAGTACCTTTACTTATTATCGTCAGGGGTTCAATTAATTTCAGAGATGCTCATTTTTTGCATGAGGATGCAAATTCCCTCCTAACGATAACAGGTAAAAGTATCGACGAAGCCTACATTTATGCCCTAATATACTGTTCTAAATACATCAAAAATACCTACTCCACGAAGATTCGAAACTGTAGCTTGTATGCCTAATTGAAACTAACAGTTTCTACATTAAATATAGCACGGTATCCTGCTGCATCTGTGAATGTATATGTCATACAAGACTGTCCCATTTTTCAATAAAACAAGACATGGTGTAATCGGATTTCTAACCCAACCACTGCAACTGCCTTCAGTCGGATAGGTAGCAGGCTCACACGAAGTGGATTTATTTTGCGGATTACTACCGATTTTTTTCTCGCATTTCGCGTTACACCAATCCTCGGTGGATCATAACCTAATCAAACCGCGTGTGCTTACCAGCCCAACGAGGGTTGCGCTTGACTGTAATCGAGTTATCGGTGTCTAGAATCACGCCAACCTTTGGCTAATTTTCAATATAAAAATGCGTGGGTGGATACCGAAAGACGAACATTTGCGAAGCGCTTTCGAACGAAATCGGTCCAAATTGTTCGTTGGTTGTGTAAAACTCTAGCAGCAGTGATCTTTTGGTGTTGTGATAAATTATTTTCTGGTTTCGAGAATTGTCTAAGTATCAAGCGATCGCCACACCTGTGAACTGGTCCTGAAAAATCCAACTCCTGCGACGATGTATCTGTTGAACGAAACTGACGCGGCCATCTTTCCGAAGGCTCGGACCGGTGAAATGCCCAAGTTGCTGGGTTGGAATCTTCCGCCGGAGCAGCAGCACCTGGTGCACGATCACTGGAAGGATTTCCCTGCCCCACCGTACTACATGCACCTACTGATGGCAATGGTCTATTTCGTGCTGATGAACACATCTCTGATCGGAAATGGAATCGTTGTATGGATTTTCACCACGTAAATTTGATACTACCTACAGGTTAATGTATATAAACTAATAAACTACCATTTAATTCCAGTTCAAAATCGCTACGCAGCGGATCGAACATGTTCATAGTTAACCTCGCCATTTTCGATTTACTGATGATGTGTGAAATGCCGATGTTCCTGGTGAACTCCTTCGCTGGCCGATTGGTTGGTTACGAGACGGGATGTGCTATCTACGCGGCTCTAGGCAGCCTCTCGGGGATCGGAGGATCCATCACAAACGCAGTCATTGCATATGACCGTTATCGAACTATTTCGAATCCATTGGATGGCCGATTGAACCGGGTACAGGCGGCACTTTTTGTCCTTCTCACCTGGATGTGGGCAATGCCGTTCACGTTGCTGCCACTGTTCAAAATTTGGGGCCGATATATTCCAGAGGGCTACCTAACGACCTGTTCTTTCGACTACCTAACCGACGATTCCGACACTCGCGTCTTTGTCGGTTGTATCTTCACCTGGGCCTACGTTATTCCAATGCTGTTTATCTGCTACTTCTACGCACGTCTGTTCGGCCACGTGAGTCAGCACGAGACCATGCTGAAAAACCAAGCTCGAAAGATGAACGTTGCATCGTTAGCAGCTAACCGCAACGAGAACGCTCAGTCAGTGGAGATTCGTATAGCCAAGGCTGCCTTCACCATTTTCTTCCTGTTCGTCTGCGCTTGGACACCGTATGCGATTGTCGCGATGATCGGTGCCTTTGGGGACAGAACAATGCTGACACCATTCTTCACCATGCTTCCGGCAGTATGCTGCAAAATCGTATCCTGCTTAGACCCGTGGGTGTACGCCATCAGTCATCCTAAATACCGCCAGGAACTGGAGCGCCGGCTACCATGGCTGGGTATCAAGGAATCTGCGGACAATATCAGTACGACGGACAGCAAACAAACGGTCGTTTCGGAACCCTCCCAGGCAGACAATGAAAACGAATAAAGAGAACAATTTATCGACAAATACCAAATGCTATCGTTGCATCAATTTAAAGGCTATCTGGATTTGACCTCTGGCAATGTTGAAGGAATGATGATTAACGGAATAATTAACTCGTAAGTTGTAGGTGTTATTCGAAACAATTTAGAAAACCATCGAAAATAAACCAAGAGAGCTGCATGTTAAAAACGAGTCTATTCTGCCCTTACTTATTGTCCGACTTTTCTCCGAAAATCATGTCATGGAGTATCCTGTGCACCTTCAGTGGTATATAGTTACTTACTTTTGCTGGTCCGACGCCCTTCAGGATATGAACCTACGTTACAATGTTACGCCAACAAATTCGGCTTGGCTTGATCGCTGGGAATGCTTGTGAATATTTGAAGTGTACAACAGCGTGAACGCCTAAACTTTTTCACTTTGATATCGCTGTGAAGCAACGGAAAATTGTTGAGGGAATTTATGCCTGTAATTGAAACTAGTTCGAGTTTTTTGTTTGCTAATCTGGTTAAGATGTCATACTTAATTATCTTAAAGATAGATCGTCCAACTCAAGGGCCCATGCAATAATTATATCACGCTAAATCGTGGCAAAAATTACCCCCTCCCCCCTATCGTGACGTTTTTCCTATACCTAATGCATTGCTTGTCACAAAATCTGTTGGACTCTCTGCTGATTTTATTTTTATTTTTTGTTTTATGTAGAGAAAAAGTTGGCTTTGGCAATAGCTTAATCTATTATCGTCAGGGGGGTAAACAAAGTCGTAGAGCACTCAAATTTGGCCAATAGTTACATTTACATTTAGAACTTTTGATGACGCATATTTTTGCTCAAGCAGCTAGGTTACTTTATTTTTTTATTAGAAAGGCTATTTTCTTCGAAAAAAAAATGGCTCTTTTTAATTGTCAATATCTCAAAATGAAGCAAACCGATTTTTAAACATTTAATTTCATAGGAAACATCGTTTTTTCTTATTTTTTTTTTGTAAAAAACTGCAAGAGCTTTTACTTTTTAAAGCATTTAATTTAATTTAAAATAAGTAATATTTTTCAGCAAAAGCTAGCCATAACTTTTCAAATACAAGAGATAACAACTTAGCAAAAATATGCGTCATAAATTTTTTTAATGTGTCTAGTATAAAAAATTTAACGAGAAATGCACGTATAAAAAGATATTTAAAGAATGCCGAATATCTAGGGACCACCCTAAACTGCTTGTTTAAAAAAATCATGACACATGAACCATAAGAGATAGATATATGGTACGTGTACTTTGAAAAAGGCATTGTGAAACTTGCTGCAGTATACACCGCAGATTATATATACGGATATTTTCCAAAGAACACTTTACTTGTTATTCCTAATTTCAACATCTTTCGCAAAAAAAAAGCAAAACACATTAAAGCCTATCTGAAAGCTAACTTTTCTAGCTATCTTTTGGTTACTAAAAGAACTTGAAAGGCGCTTATTCAAAATTTTCCCGGTTATCCAATAATCTCTACACAGCTTTCTCTTGAAGCCGGGTTAAATACTGTTTACGTTTTTTTATGAAGGAATTTATTGAGTTTATTTTGCTGTGATTCAAATTTATCGAAATTATTTACAAATCATCACCAAATTATTTACCCTGCACCGGAACCTGGAATCGAACTCGAGACGACCGCATTGGCAAACCTTGACACTACCAACAGTGCTACGCCAACACTTTGAACTGACGTAAACAAATCAACATGCCCTTCTACAACAAAATCGCTGAGTAGAGGCTTTATAATAGTGCACATGAATCACTCTTCTCGACTGACAGCTTTGTAAAAGAGCAGAGTAAAAGCTGTAAAACTGCACACGTCTAAAAATAAACCTAGTTGACTGTGAAAATGCTTCCGAAGTTGCTCTAACACAGTTTATTAGCTGAGTACAGGATGTTTAGTTGTTGAAAAAGCACTTTTGATGTTTATGTTATTCAGCAAGAGTGGTTGGTTGTGTAGAAGCCATCCAATGAGTAATATATTCATTTTATTAACTTAGTTTTGCAGTAACAAGTTGAAAGTTGATTAGTATGTGTATAAAAGAGACATTAGCGTTTTTTGGCTGTCGTTATTCAGTGCGACTGACAAATTGAATAATGATTGTGAAAAAGTTGAGTAAACGCTCTCCAAAACTATTTCGCTAGCTTTTGCTTGTAGCTGTATCTGCAGCTTCTTTTCAGCTACTTTACAGCACAACGCTGGAAAACTTGGCTTACAAAGCTGAAAATGTTAGTTGGGCAACTAACATTTTTTGCAATGTAAACGCTTTACTCAAGCTGTATTTAAATGTTATACGATATGAGGAAACCTTTACTCAGCAAATCTGGCGAACTTAGTCAGCTACTTATGGCTGTTGGGACGGTTGTGACAAGCTCTTATTGCATATCCATTAACGCTTCTATACAGCTGTTATCCTGCTGTTTAGTTGTGTGTGAATTTGAAAGGCGCTTATTCAACCTTTTCCCGGGTATCCAATAATCACTACACAGCTTTCTCTTGAAGCCGGGTTAAATATTATTATGTTTTTTTTTTTTGTTGGAGGAATTAATTGAGTTTATTTTGCTGTGCCATTTTTTACAAGTTACAAGTCATGTGTTAAAATTACGAATAGAATTAAAGTACTGCTTTAATCTGGTTTTTGTCATTATAAATTCAATAGCTTCACTATGTTTATTGTAAGCAGTCATAATTTGATTTAGTGCACCAAATTTGGCATAATTTGTGCGATAGTGATTTGTAGTAAATATATTTCGAGTTCGCAGTTGCCGAGAAGGTATGTAAAAATTAAGCTTTGATCGAGGGGGGTGACACATCTAAATCTCAATTCTAGATGCTCAAAAAATCTCACACTAGAGAATAAATCTTCGAAAAATCTTCTTTCATTTGTCGCATCTACTTGCATCGCGCATCATCTTTTTGCAGGAAATCTTCCAAATCGTGATAAATCTTCTTTCTATCTACTCCGCGTACGCGCAGCTAGCCACAGCAAAACACAATATTTCCTGCATCGTAGATAGAGTCGTTCCCCTCGGCTTTGATAACAGTTCTACTGAGTCAATTCGATGCGATACTATTTAGTTCACAAACAAAACCATTGCAAATTCACGACGCGCTTTCAATGTTTGAATGTTGATGAGCATGCAGCGTGCTTCATAAGATGGACGAGGAAATCTTGTCCAACCTAATTTACGAAGAGCAAATAGTAAGAATTGCTTTTGCAGTGAATGAAAAAGGTGACCAAACTATGCTGCAATATTCAAGTATTGATCTTACATATTAAATGTACAGTGTTTTTATTGTATACGGGTCATGAAAATTGTAACTGAAACGTTTGATAAAGCCAAGCATATTATTTGCTTTGTTGATAATTGTAGTATAATGATCAGTGAATGCTAGTTTTGAATCAATTATAACTCCTAAATCCCTAACTCGTTCACACTTTTCTACTGCCTGATTTCCTAATACAATTCTATTATCTGGTTTGTTTCTTTTTCTACTAATAGCTATTGATTTACATTTTTGAACGTTTAGTTGCAGGAGGCTTTTGTTACACCAAACATAGAATAAGTTTATTTCAATCTGGTATGTCTGTATATCTTCTTTATTTCTTATTTCTAGAAAGAGCTTCATGTCATCCGCATAACTTTTATGTTTTTAAGAATAAAGGAGATGTCGTTTACAAATAAAATAAACAAAAGAGGGCCTAGATGCGAGCCTTGGGGGACTCCAGAAGTAACAGTAATAGGGTTTGATTTTTCACCTTTGAATCTAACTATTTGTTGGCGATTAGTTAAATATGACTCAAGCCATTTGAGAAGTCCAGGTTCAATTCCTATTTTTTGTAATTTGTAAAGAAGCATGGGTATATCAATACGATCAAATGCTTTGCTAAAATCGATATAGAGTGCTTCTACATGGTTTCCATTATCCATTGCAACCAAAGAATAGTTGACGAATTCAAGTAAATTTGTATTAGTTGATCGTCCTTTGAAGAAGCCATGTTGCGTGTTAGTGATTCTGTTTTTGATCTGATTGAATAGTTTTTCATTCCTCGGTAATTTTGTATGTCAGATTTTTTTGCCACTTTTGAAAATAGGCACTAGAAAAGAGCTTTTCCATGTTTTTGGGAAGATTCTAGAATCTAGTGACATATTGTAAAGCCAGAATAATGGAGCTGTGAGTTCCAGTGCCAGGCTCTTCATAAATACTGGTGGAATTCCGTCTGGTCCAGAGCCTTTGGAAGCATCCAAATTGTTCAAAGTTGCCATAATATCCTGCACATTAACTTGATTAACTTGTATATCACTAATACAATCTGAGATGAATTCAAAATAATCACGATCACGATCATCTTCTGAAAAAGAGGTGTAAATTTCTTGGAAGGAAGTAGCAAATAGATTGCAGATATCGGCTGCGTTGTCACCAACCGTTTCATTAAAATGCATTTTTGATGGAAAATTGTCTGATTTTAATTTAGTTTTAACGTAAATGAAGAATTTTTTTGGACTAGATTTTATTTCGAGTTCGGTTTTTGAATTGTACTCCTCAAATGCAATATCAATTGTCATATTTAATTCATCGCAAATACGCAAATAGTTTGCCAAATTTTCATTGGTGCCTTGCTTTTTATAAGCCTTATGCCCATGTAAAAATGATAAAAAATATCAACTTTAATTTTTGAGGTTTTCGCCAGCCAGGAACCACTGTGCAGGGCGCCGCGGCACCCAGGTTGGGAAGTACTGATATAGGGTATATGCTCCAACTATGCTCACACGCTTCCACTATGCCGCACCACAAAAATACGTATGGGTATTGTAATTGTATTTGTTCAGTGCATAGGCTGTGCCTTCCGCTAAGAAGGCTTATCTAGGGACCAACCCCCTAGTCTATGCACCTACTGTCCTTCCCGTTACACTCGTCAGCTCGTGCGATACTCTAGACACACATGGGTGGTCGTATCCGGGTCCTCCCCTGGGTATGCTCGTTTCCGTCCAGGTTCTGGTACATTAACTTATCTAAATGCATGGTAATTATACTTTTAAAACTCACCTTTTGATTATAATGTCGAAAATGCTGAAATTAAATAAAGGTTAGCGATCCATATAAGGTGTGTGCTGCGACGGAGTAGTAATTGAAGGAAGTGAGGTTCTAATGTGAA